TTTAAAAGATGATATGACCTTTACTGCTCGCCCCTATACATTTATTAATTATATACGTATATATTATTATTATAAACAGTTTAACAATATATTTTTAACTTTTTTATAAACATTATTTTCCTTTTTTAACCCATTAATGCCCATATGGGCACAGGAACGCAGATATAAAAAAAGTAATTATTGGGATCCTGGCATGGGGTCTAATGATATTTTTTGACGTTAAAAATTTTGTTTAAAAAATTTTTTTTAAACAATTTGATATAAACAAATGAAGAAAAATTGATTTTCCTAAAAAACTGATAGCGCCATTCGATAAAATATTAATTTGTAGTATCAAATAAATAGTTATTTGTAGCAAATTCGAATTATTTAAGTTCAAATGAATGGAATAATTGGATCTAATAAATATTGCTTTAAATCAATTAGGAAAATTACTTGATTCAGTAATGCATGGATTTTAATTCAAATAAATATTTATTTGCATCAATAAAATAATTTTTTTAAAATAACTAAATATTTATGGGACACTCCGCACGTCAACACGGACAGAGCTCTAAACAAAAATTGCTTTGATAGATTTAAACGTTCTAGGGCTTAAAAGATTTCTACATTCATGTACTTCAAGATGCTGATGGGCGTTTTTTGTAAATTTCCATTTCCGATGCCAATAGAGCTGTCAAAAGTCAAAAGGTCCAAAAATCTCAAAATACTTTTATGAATTAAAAGCAAAAAACGAGGTAAATTATTCTGTAACTCATTCTTTAACAGTTTTTTAAGGTCCCCGAATATAAATCTAAAGTTTTTTTTTAAATCTAAAATGTCGGATCCAATATCGCGGACAAAATTCAAATTTTATCAGATTCGATTAAAAGGTGTTACTCGGGGGCTTTTGGGGTCGCAGATTATGAATATGAAGTTACTTCGTAGAAATTGAAAATGATGAATCCAATATGGTGGACAAATTTTTAAATTTGATCAGATTTAATTAAAAAGTGTTACTCGGGGGTTTTTAGCGTATCTGATAGCGAATTTGAAGTCACTTTTAAAAAATTCTAGCTTCATACTGTTCTATGTATAATGTAAACAATTTGTTATTATTACAAACTTTAAGCGAAAAGTATCAAAATTGGACATTTTTTCATTCATATGGGATCCGCTATTTTCAATTTTTAAATTGTGATTGCAGATTCATAATCAGATACCTTAAAAACCCCCGAATAACACGTTTTAATTATATCTGATCAAATTAAAAAAATTTTCCACCTTATTGGATCCGCCATTTTTATTTCTAAAAAGTGATTTCATATTTGTAATCTGTGGCCCCATAAGCTTCCGAGTAACACGCTTTAAGGAAATCGGATCAAATTTGAAAATTTTTTCCGTCATTTTAAATTTTGAATTTTTTAAAAGTGACTTCAGATTCGTAATCAGCGACCCTAAAGGTACACTCTCACCTCTACTGCCTGCCTGCCTGCGCAGGCAGGCGCCATAAGAGTGAGAGAGAAAAAACATTTAATTTGAATTTTCTGACTCTCTTACTCTTATGTGTTACCATGTCAACCTGCAGGCAGGCAGGCAGTAGGAGCTGTGCTAGCGCCTTAAAAACCCCCGAGTAACAAGTTTTAATCGAATCTGTTTAAATTTGAATTTTGTCCGCCATATTGGATCCGCTATTTTGAATTTTAAAAAAAACTTTAGATTTATATTCGGGGACCCTAAAAACTGTTAAAGAATGAGTTACAAAATAATTTACCCCGTTTTTTGCTTTTAATTCATAAAAGTATTTTGAGATTTTTGGACCTTTTGACTTTTGACAGCTCTATTGGCATCGGAAATGAAAATTTACAAAAAACGCCCATCAGCATCTTGAAGTACATGAATGTAGAAATCTTTTAAGCCCTAGAACGTTTAAATCCATCAAAGCAATTTTTGATTAGAGCTAGGTCCGTGTTGACGTGGAATTTCCCTTATTTATATAAAAAAAATTCGTAATGGTGGATCCAATATGTCGGACAAAATTTTTAAATTTCAAACAAATATTATAAACAAAAAAAAACAAAGAACAGAAAGTGTAATGTAAAACCTTTGCAGCCTCCACGCGGCACATTCTGGGGTCATAATTCGTTTTATCAGCTAATGCAAAGGATATAGAATAGAGTACAAAATTTGATAAAAATCGGGATGAATTAAAAAAATTACGTCCCCCATTTTGAATTCATTATTTTTTATTTTAAAAGACAAATTTAAATTCAGCGACCCAAAATACCCCTAGATACTGAAATTGATAAAAATCCAAATGAATTTAAAAAATTATGTCCACTATTTTGAATTTTTAAAAATGAAGGTCAAATTTAAATTCAGCGACCTGAAAAACCCTTAGGTACTGAAATTGATAAAAATCCAAATGAATTAAAAAAATTATGTCCGCCATTTTGAATTTTTTAAAATTTAAGGTCAAATTCGAATTCACCGACTCCAAAAACCCTTATACACTAAATGTGACTTAAATTAAAAATAAATTTTCATAAATTTTACTTGTTTTTAAATTGTTATATATTATTTAAAAATAATAAATAATCATTTATTTATTACTTAATTTAGGATCATTGAAATCAATAGTGTGTTGATAATGATATAAAACAATTTATTTTATAATTTAGGTATATAAGAAATTGCATTTATTTTGCGCTAAGAAGTTTACTACCCAACGGTCGTTAACAGGCAACGGGTTAACAGAAAAATAATTTTTAAAATTCAAACATATTTTTTTACTAAATTTTTTTGAAAAATTTACATCATATCATATTTTATATTTTTTGTAGGATAGTTTTTTGTACAAAAAAATTATTTCAAATTGAATTTTTTGTGTATAACTTTGCCGACCTGTAATTTCTAAGAGAAAATTACACGTTAATGTCTACAAGTAATTCCCATTCTGTAGAAAATAACCTTTAAAGTAAGCCTAAGATCAATAAAAAGTGTTCATGTTTTTAGAAGTTATTTAAATTTTCGTACAACATTGAAAATAATGATTTTTTAAAAATATCCTACACAGAAATAGAATTGTTAAATCTCAATACTCAATAATCTAATTCTTTTCACTTATATTACAATTCAACACTTTTTATTTTGGAAATTTCATATTTTGGACATTTTGGGCTTTGGAAATTTTGTATTGTAGAAAAATAATTTTTAGATTGTGTGTGGATTAAAAAATTAAATTTTGAAGTTCTGAATGTTCTTCGCATGCTTTATAGTGATAGAACACTACTGCGCATGCGTAATAGTGATAGAACACTACTGCTCATGCGTTATAGTAATAGAACACTACTGATCATGCGTTATAGGCTGTTTTCGGCACTCGCCCCGAGTTAACTCCGGGTTAATGGTGATTAGTTAGGCCAACAGAATGTTTTTGATTGGATAATATTTAACTCGGGGTTAACCCTGGGTGAGTGCCGAAAACAGCCATTGTTGCGCATCCGTGATACAGATAGAACACTACTGCGCATACGTGATACAGACAGAACACTACTGCGCATGCGTTATAGTGATAGAACACTACTGCGTATGCGTTATAGTAATAGAACACTACTGCGCATGCGTAATATTGACAGAACACTACTGCGCATGTCTGACATTGGTAGAACACTACTGCGCATGCGTTATAGTTATAGAACACTACTGCGCATGTGTAACATTGTCCGAACACTACTGCGCATGCGTATATGTATGTACAATGAGTATATTTATATACGACACTGAATAAATGATAAATGATAAAAGTCGAACGACCGAACGAAGAAGTACGAAAATACACGAACGACGGACGACAAAACGACGACGAATATGTTAATATTATAGGAGATAATAATTAAAGATGACCGTGTAATAAAATCATTATTTTATATTACTAGCTCCTCCGACGGCCGCAAGCGGCCGTCTACGGTGCTAGTTTTTATATGTCCATTGTCCAAGTCCATTATTTCATTAATAATAATATTCAAATTTTTTTAGTTAATAATTTGCTTATTTATATTTGAAATGTTGACGTTTTTTTGACAATGCAAAATAAGATTTGTTATGTGTACTTTCTCTTAACAAAAATAAAATTTATATATTCGCGCTCTTTTTAAATAACATACGACTGCAGCGCCACCTTCACATGTACAAACAATTTTAAAAACACCCTTCTATTAAAATTTTACATTCTCATTGCCCATTCTTTACTTCGATACTTTTCGATACATTCGACCTTTCCACTCCATGTCTTTTTTAAGAAAGGATAAAAATATTGTTAGTCTAACTTCTTCAAAATTATTTTCTTCATTTCAATTATTATTTTCTAGAATTTTATTGACATTTTTGAAAATAATTGAACTTTGAGAAAAAATTTTGTTATTTATAAAAATAATTGGGATTTTGACGAAATTTTTTTTTTAATTTTGGAATATAATTGAATTTTATGTGAAGAATTTTATTACTTTTCAAAATAATTGAATTTCTGCAATTATTTGTAATTTCTCCAAAATTGAATATTTCACTGTTTTCAACAAAAATTTAAAATTAAAGTTTTTAAATTCTGTTATTTTTAAAATTGCTAATTTTATTTTAAAAAAATAAGCAAGAAGTTAGTTGCTATTTGAAAATAATTAATAAATGTAATAAACACTGGCATAAAATAAAGACTCGAAAAAAATTCCGCCTCATTCGTACATATAGATGAGTAGGAGGGGTTGAAAAATCCCTTCTTCTATATCTCAGATTCGCAAAAGTGGGCGTTTATTTCATATAAGATATATCTGTACCAAAAAAGAGAAAAAATATTAACAAGGTCAAAAATAGGATGGAAATAATGAATCAGGAGATGATATTCGTAAATCAGAAGGTCCGCGCCTAAAATAACAATATGAAAGGTCCGTCTATATATTCCATTTGCTGATTAGTTGAGTCAACTGATCAGAATTTTTTTCCTTTTTGAAAATAAAACAACAACGAACCGACGAGAGGTGTCAGCTTCATTATTGTCTTGCTCCTGATATTTTCGCCTCTACCTGCGCGCCTCTTCGATCAGATCATTAATAATCCTTCTGCGGCGGGAAAGATGAAACAATGGTTGAAGAGAAAGGAGAAGAAAAAATGTTTACTGAAATCAGAACGTAAAGTATTAATTTTTCATTGAAATATGGAGAGTATTTATATATATCTATCTATATTACAAAAAGATATCGCCGCCGCCGCTGTTTCAAGATTCTGTAAGGGCGCCCTATCCCAAAGGGGCCGTCAAAACTTATGTCAAAATTGACCAATTTTTTTACCTATAGGTCAAAAAGAGGATAACGGCCTCACATAACGTCAAAATCTATGTCTAATTTGACCTATTTTTTGACCTGTAGGTCAAAAAGAGGATAAATAACGGCCTCACATTACGTTAATATAGGTCAATTTTGAGGGAAGTTTTGACCTAGGCGTCAAAATTTGACAAAGAATTCAATTTTGAGGGCAGTTTTGACCTAGACGTCAAAATTTGACAAACAATTTCCGCTACCCTCAAAATTTAGGTGAATTTTAAGGGCAGTTTTGACCTACGCATCAAAAATTGACGAAGAATTCCCGCTACCCTCAAAATTTAGGTCAATTTTGAGGGCAGTTTTGAGCTAGACGTGAAAGTTTGACAAACAATTTCTGCTACCCTCAAAATTTAGGTCAATTTTGAGGGCAGTTTTGACCTACACATCAAAATTTGACAAAGAATTCCCGCTACCCTCAAAATTTAGGTCAAGTTTGAGGCCAGCTTTGACATAGACGTCAAAATTTGTCAAACAATTTCTGCGCGCAGACTTAATGATGAGGTGAAGTTTAGCATCTGACCTAACAATGTAAGGTAATTTTAAAATTGTGTTTGCTCTTACACCTATAATTTTGACTTAATTTTGACGTTTTATTTTTACTCCCTCATTTAGTTACGTCATAATCTATGTGTAATTTGACTTTTATTTAACTACAACTTAGAAAGGGACAATAAAGGTTAATAAACGTATCTATGATACATCAAAATCTATTTAAAATTTAACGTCTTTTTAACCTATAGGTTAAAATGGGTCAAAATATATGTCAAAGTTTAATCTAATTTTTGACATATAGATAAAAAAGGTCCATAACGATTGTTACATTACGTCAAAATCTATGTGTATTTTGTCATGTATTGTATGCAATTTATTGAGATGCATTGATATTAAGAAAAAATTACTTTAAATTTATAAAAATTAAAATAAATATAAAAATAGAGATAGGGGGTTGGCGCGCAGGGGGGCGAAGCCCCCCTATTATATATATATATATATATATATATATATATATATATATATATATATATATATATATATATATATATATATATATATATATATATATATAAGGATAAAGTATTTAAATTAATTTAGTTAAATATATAATTTAAAATAAAAATGTAATAATAATGAAATAAAAATCATGAAGATATAAGAGTAGAGGATGCTAGAGTTATGAAAAAGCATCAGGTCGATAGAAAGAGTCAGCTAGTTTAGCTAACGTCGCCTCTTTTGTCTTCGTTTCTTGACGCATGCGCCTTGGTGCGTTTATAGTCGCACATGCGCATTTGCTACTGGTAACAGTCGTGCGCATGCGTCTCTAGAGAGAAAGAGAGAGAGAGAGAGAGAGAAAGAAGAGAGGACGTTAACACTCTGTCTCCTTCTATCGATCTGACGCTATCGTCTATATTCGTACAGACTCGCTTTCTCTATTTTTCTATCTCGATGAATAATAATAAATAAATATAAAAGTGTTACATTGTTAATAAGACGAATTGCTCGAATAAAAGTACTTTATTTTAGAGATATAATATATACATGTGCTCGGCTCAAGGTAATCGTAAAAACTGAATATCATACATTCAACCATGACAACTTTCGACATCTACTGACATTAAATACAAGCATTTTGGAAAATAAAATGAAAACAAAAACGAAAGTGGGGAGTAAATTTAATTTCAATTTGAAAAATTAATATTCCCCTCGCATAGAGAGAAATTATATTCCTCACATGTGGTGAATATACGGTAACATAATCTAAAACTGTAATTCCCCTTGCTAATAAAACAACAAATAGTGTTAATGTACAAAAAGAATTATTAATCCTCTTTGGAAATGTGTGTGCGGATTTTAATACGAAAATCACACAGTAAAGAACCGTAAATGTTGGTCATTATAATATATATTTAGTTTCTGGATTTTATTAGACAGATTAATAAAGAAAAAAGAGAAGGAGAGACTATTCCCTTAAATTCTCAACTTCATAATTATAAATCGCACCTCGATGCGCGCCTAACCCTTAACTATATATTTATCAGCGCACAATATGCGGCAACTAAATAGCACTTTCAGAGAGCTATTACCTCTATTTCATAATCATTTTCCAAGTGACTAATTTGTGTTTGTCGAGTATTCTTTTTTCTCTTGTCGACCCCGCACGAGAACTGCGGGTATTCATTTTAAAAAAAGATTCTTTTTTTTGCGCACCACATGAACCGTACCGGTTCCTTCGGTACGCGGTCCCACTTTGCATTTATATGAGGGTTTTATACTACCGCGCGTGGCACCGTTGACGTAAATATGTATCTTTGGATGTAAGAGTATGAAAAAGAGAGAAAAGATGCATTAAAAGGGGGTTCGATAGGGGAGAGGATTTACGTAGACCGCGACAGACACGCGACAGAAGGCATATCATGTAAGTGTTTGTGCGAGAAAGACAGAGGAACCGCGAGAGGCAAGTAGATGAATTATGTTAAACGCCCGTTTAAATACATGTACGCCTAGGGGATATCTCGCTTAGTAAAGAGGCACCGCGGACCATTCGTCTTCTCAATTTTGCCTGTGCTGGATCGAAAATTCAAAAAAGAAAAATTCTTTTCCGGTACGTCGATTTTTTAAACTTTCTGATTCATTCAAATATTGAATAGGAAGAGTATTTAATTTTTTTTCTATATAGTATTATTATTTTTTCTTAGTACTTCTTGTAATAAAAATTATTAATTAACATTTTCATGATTAGTCCGCATGCAAAAGACCTAAAAATGCATCAGGTCGATAGAAAGAGTCGGCTAGTGTACCTAACGTCCCCTCTTTTGTCTTTGTTTCTTCACACATGCGCGCTGATTCTAAACAGACGTTCGTGCGCATGCGTCTCTAGAGAGAGAGAGAGAGAAGTGAGCGTGACTCTTTTCATTGACCTGACGCAGATTATTGATTAATAATAAAATTTGGTATAAAATCTATATTAATAATCGTTGTATTCCGGTAATCTGTTCGCAGTTTAAAGTTAGTTGTTATTTGCTTTTTTGTTTCTTAACTTTTTTAATAATTTTTTTCAATATTTTCAATTTTAAAATTAATGTATTAAAAATCATCGAATTATTGCAAAGAATTTTATCAAAAAATTTGATAACAATTGAATTCCTTTAAACCATTTTATTATTTATGCAAGTAATTAAATTCTTGTCAAGAATTTTGTTAAAAATTTAATGAAAATTTTAATTCAATTCTTTTTAAAAATTTCTTTAAAATTTTTTCAAAATAATGGAGTTTTATTGATACTTTTAATTTTAGGAAATATTTGAACTTTTTTGAGAAATATTATTAAAATTTTTTTTAAAAATCCAATTTTTTAATGGAATTTTATTAAAATTGTATTAAAAATAATTGAATTTTTTCGAAGAATTTATTAGAAATTTAGAAAATTATTGAATTATATTGAAATTTTTATAACAAATTAAGAAAAAAATTAAATTCTTTTGTGAAATTTTTTGAAAATAATTGAATTTTTGCAAAGAATTTTACTATTTATAAATATAATTGAATTATTTCAAAGAATTTATTAAAATTTTGGAAAATAATTGAATTCTTTTGAAATATTTTATATAACGAATTAAGAAAAAAATTGAAGTTTTTCGTGAAATTTTTTTGAAAATAATTGAAATTTTGCAAAGATTTTACTACTTTAAAAAAATAATTTAACTGTTTCGAAGAATTTATTCAAATTTTAGAAAATAATTAAATTCATTCGTGAAATTTTATTAAAATTTTGTTTAAAAATAATTGTATTTCTACAAATATTGTTACTATTTATAATTATAATTTAATTCTTACGAAGAATGTTATTATTTATAAAAATAATTTAATTCTTGCAAAGAATTTTTAAAAAAATTTTGAAATTATATGGGATTGTTCACAAATGATGTCACGTGTTTGGGGGGAGTCTCAACTAAACAGTTATAAAGTTAATAAACTAAAATTTCAAAAAATAAAAAAAATTTTGGTTTATTTCACGTGAGCGGTTTTGTTTTTTGACAGAGTACTTGCCTAATGACAAAAAATAGTTTTTGAACAAATAAACCCAAAAAAACAAAAAATGTAAAAAATATTTTTAACAACATATAAAAATACATTTAACTTTTCGCCCTAGGGTGCATTTTTGGCTTTAACAACAAATATAAAAAATCTGGCTAAAAATATTTAGCAAGTACCTTTACGTATCTTTTCAGGGGATCCAAATAAGGACCTGAAACAATCGCGATGAGAATAAATTCAAAAAATATACTTAAAAGTCGATATTTTCTTTTACGAAAAAATTTTCAAAAGTAGGGTGAAAAAAAATTTAAATATGGACACCACAAAAATGAACAGAATGTCACATAACTCCGGGCATTCATTTAGAGTGATAACACCCTTCTATAATTAAAATTGCAATGCTCTAACTATTTCTGTTCGAAAGATAATAAATTTTAACTGTTTTGACAGTTTAACCTTTCGCCCCAGTCTCCCCTATTATAAGAATATTCTTACTGTAACTTCTTCAACATTATTTTTTTTTATTTCAATTCAATTGTTATTTTCTAGAATTTTTAATTATTTTTTATGAAAATATAATTGAATTATTACGAAGAAATTTATAAAAAAAATTTGTAAATAATTGAATTCATGTGAAATTTTTATTATTTAAGGAAATAATTAAAAGTTTGCATACAATTTTATTAAAATGTTTTTTAATAATTAAATTCTTTTTAGGAAATATTATTAAAATATCCGTGTGGAAAAATATTAAGGCAGTCTA